GCACCCAGCAGAGGGCAAAGATGGGAACACCTTGGCCTTGGATGTGCTCTGTCAAACCACTGGTGTGACTAACAGTCTAATACTGCAATTGGGAGGGTTGCTAGCAGACCCAGCAAGGAGCTGCAACAAGCTAAGTGAAGTACAAAACTCATTTTGCTGAACTTAATTCCAGACTTAATGAATGACATCTAGGCGAGTTCAGAAATGAGCTTACTTCTCGCTGCCTCAGTGATGACTCTACAGTGCCATGTTACGAATTGTCTGGTCCTCACTGCGTCAAAAGTAATCTGTTGGATTCCTCCGTGATGGCAGGGACGCTTGCTTAGCATTAAGCTGTCTTGCAAACAGATGCGGAAAGTTTCCAGAGACCACAGCTAGGTGCAGTGAATGCTTGAGAGGGAAGGCAATGAAATATTCCAATTTAAGGTATATGCTGAAAGTCTAGCTGTAATAGTAGCTTCAGAAAAACGGGCAACTAGCAGATCTATTGGAGGACAGCCCCTTAATTTGGGGGATATGTGTGAAGTCTTGCATAACTTGATCTGACTCATCGCTGCAATTCTACTGGTACCCTGTGTACTGCCTTCTTTTCCTATGTTGCCATTTTCTTAAGAAAACCCTGAAGGAAAACTTCTGGGATAGCTGTGCCTGACACTGATTCTCGGTGGAGCTGACCATTAGGTATGTCTTAAGTTTAATTTGCTGATGCCAGATAAAACTGAACGCTGCAGGGGCCTATCGAGCTGAAAGATGAAGGCAGTAATGATGTTCACGGTAGTTTCTAGAGAGGCTGGGGAAGTCAGAGTAGAAAACCTAAACCTCCTAAATTGTTACTAGTCACTTCCCTAGCTACCTTCCAAAAAGTGGATGGCAGATAGCAAATTGATGCATTGAGTCTGCCTTTTCTTGCTTATTTGCAACTTAAGAATGAATTGTAGCACAAACTTAAGTGTGTGTTTAAAGAAAGATCTACAGGCTTGGTTAAGGGAGTAACAGCGAAAATTGGAGATGCTATAATCCTCACCTGTAGCTACTTCAGTTACGCACTTTCTCACTTTGGAACATGCTGCTTTAATAGAAATTCTTATTGCAGTAATTTCATAGCAATTCTTATATTAGGCAGATATAAAAATAACTGGATTGTAATCTCAGAGGTGTTCATTAAACTCCCACTTTTTTAATTGACAGGTGTAGTTCTACCATCAGCCAAAGTGACCCTTGATTTTAAGGAGGGAGCAAAGTTGGTCAGTGTTGTTCAGTCATCCTGGGACTTACTTAGGCTTACCTGCCCAAACATGCAACGAGGGAAGAGCAGTAGGTTTCCCCTAACAAAGGGTTTGGAAACAATAATATTCAAAATAGATTGAGAACATGAACGTGAGAATTCTTCTCGATGTCATTGTTCTGTATTGCACTGTAAGGCCCTTCTTTGAGGAGAGTAAAATGAAACCTTGTAGAAAACTGAAGGGACTCTTTCAGCATTCGGGTATTTCAGTTTAGGTTTAAACATGTTTCCTTTATTGCTTAGGTGTATTTGCAGGTACCTCTTGGGTAGTTACCTTGTTAGGGTATTTGCCTAGCCAGTGTTAAACACTGTTTTAAGTTGTTGGGTGTAAGCTTAATGAAATTGAAAGCACATGATGCCACTGGAGAAGAAATATCAACCTTTTCTCTGATGTGAAGTGAGATTTTTTCAGACTACCTTTTTGGTTGGGGAGGACGTGGTATTTGGTTTCTATGTATATGATATTTTCTATGATGTATGAACAAGTTTATTGGAAAGTGGATTTGAGTACACTGTATGCTACTTGTAACTTAAGCTTGGAAACCGAGAAGCTCGCATGATTTTGTTTTTTGTTATTGACCTGTGAAGCATACTTTGAGATGTCAAACATTTTCTTTGTTTCTTCTTGTTTGGAAATGTTGAAGTTGAAATATATCTTTGCTATAGTGCTATCAAGCATTGAGTGCTTGCTTCATTTAAAACCACTTCTGGAAAAAACTTGAATTGTGGGGGGATGGCTGAGGGAGAATGGCCTTAACTCATGCATCCCAAATATTTCTTGCACTCTGCATAGTGTATGCCTTCATTAAAAATAACTGGAAGTGTGATAGAACTTAAGAGTTTTAGGTCAAAGTTTTATATAAAAAGACCTCGTTTCCCACTTTGCTACTGTATATGGAAATAACAGCTATCTGTTACCAACAGTGGTAATACAGTTTCTTTTATCAAAAAACATCTTCTAGACTTTCTTGGTAAAGAGCTGTAGTAATGCTGTTTACAATAAATGCGGTCTCGAAAAAAAAAGTGCAAAAATGCCTATTATAAGATGAAGGGTTGTACAGCGTGACTTTTCAGAAGTGTGGAACAACACAGTCTTGAGCTGTGTGTGGGAAGAACGACAAACGTGCAGCTGCTGAGTCCTGCTGTTTTGTAAAGCACAACTATAGCAGGCTTACTTCCGAATTTTCCCTGCTTAAATAATGGCCATGGATGCTGTTTTGACCATACCTACTATGCTGCGGTACATATCTTTCCAGAAATGGCATGTCTGTACTACAGTAAAGGTAACATAAGCGTTTATTAGATGTTAGACTACAAAAATTGTTGCAAGCACGTGAAAATGGCAAGTTCAATAGTGGTATCTGCAGTATTGCAAATGGACGGCCTACCCATAATGAAATCCTAGTCTGAATCATATTAACAAATCTCTGTTACTGTTTTTTACAGTAAAAGGTGGTACCGTGCATATTAAAGCAAACATCTGTCCCTGTGGTCTGATCCTTGGAGGTATACGATGATGTTGGTTTATTTTCATAAGCAGTACATTCTTTTCAATTTATAGCAAGTTAAACTTCCCCCTGAAACAAGTGGCTTGGACCTACAGTTAGTTGAAATCTGCTCAATTCTGGAACTGTTTCCTTGGTGCTAATGGACAAAAAGCATATAAACCCAGAGGGGTGGATGCTTTAAGGCTTTTCTACCCAGTGTTGAGAGTTCCTTTATAGAGGCAGTCAACATAATGAAACATCAGTCTTCACTGCTGGGAAGTAGTGTTACAAACTTCCCCTATTTCCTTCTAAACTTCGATGCTAGTTTAAGTGTTAAGAACTTCCCCTAAATTAATATGCCCTGTATGAACATTGCAGAGTTGCATATATTTAGCAAGTTGCCACAAGCTATTGTAGGGTATCTCCTTTATCATAAGAGCTACTTTAAAACCCTCCCTGCCAGCAGCAAAGAATGGTGCCAGCAAGAATACTCGGCACTCTTTAGACCATATCGCGTCTTTGGAATTGAAAATAATTAGCAATGCAACTGGAATATAGTTTATCCTATTTCTTAATACTTAAACCTTCTCTTTAAACCCTTCCCACAATAGCATTGCTTAGTCTCAACACTAAAGGGAGGAGGAGTAGAGGGTAATAAGGACTTCTGCTAGATACTACCACTCACTTCCTGGTTTCATAGGAGCTTGGTTGCCTGTAGCGATTCTTATCAGAAAGGGCTACCTAGAGCTAGAAGGAAAAGTGCGTTTAGACTTAGATTTCCCCATCTTTAACAATATTCGTATTTCAGATTAGAGTGCTGCCATTCAATGTTGACTTCACTCAACATTTACATGTCTGGTAATTAAAACCTTGGCGGTAACCTTGACACCTGGCTTAAGATGGTGATGCACAGAGGAACTGAAAGCACATCAAGCACACGCTGTATGACAACTGTTGGGGGAAGGAGGAGGAAGGGAAGAATAGAGTGGAGCATATACCGTGCTAATCAGTTTTAGCATCTAGAAAAAAAACCCTCACAGGTAGAGTATGGTACGGTTTGGTCTTATCAAGTCTGCCAGAAAGACAAAGATAACTCAGTTGAGTCAAGCCTCTCCATAGATAGATGATGCAAAGCATCTCCCAGCAAGTCTGCCACCCTCCGAGGATGGCAGCAGTTATTAGCAAAATTACAAGAAACTAACAACTCTCTCCAATGCAGGAATTCAAGCATCCTCCCTTTTACAGCATCTCTAAGCCTAGGTTCTACCCTGCAAAACATTTACTTCATAGTTACTCATTAACCTGACCTCTTATTGTATGTAATTAATTATTTAAAATCTTCCATCAAGATGAAAAAGTAACTAGCTTCTGTGTTCAGTCCAGCTATCACTCTATTATATCAACAGTCTAAAATCCAGTACACTGTCAGTAACAGTACAGATTTTTCAAGGGGCCTGAGCCTCTTTCAAATTCAGATTAATCCAGAGTAAAGCATTAGTCAGTAAGTAGTAACTAGTAGTTTAAGAAGGGGGGGGGCAGGGGGAAGCAGAACAGGTTACTTTTTGTACTGTGTTTTTAATCAGTACAACAGAATCCTCAGAGAGGAAGATACAAATTAGTAAAACTTCCACACATCATTTTTACAACTCAAATTTCTTTTTTCAGTGGGCAGTTAAAAGCAACCCTTCCCTCCGAAGTCCATACTTCCTCCCAGTTGGACCACTAAAAGGTAGTCTGTGGCTAATACCAAATTGCATTGAATTTGAGCCTGTGAACAAGAAATGACATTGCATGCTACCAGGTACCTCAGCTCTCACTTCAAATTATCAGTTCTTAAACCCATCAAACTTGTAGGAAAAGGACTTGGTAAATATAGTTCTCTTTTTGGGTTAGCATTAACAATTTAACCTCATGTTCTTTCCTCACTGAAAGATAAGGTACCACTAAGGCTTTCTAAATCAAATTTTTTTTTTTTTATAGCAAGTTACTAGACTTGACCATTAACAAGGAATCAAGAGGTTTCAATTAAGAGCACTGGTCTTCACCAGAACTTTACATCTATACAACTCAGACACTACAGATAATTTATTTTTTGAGATAGGATCTGTTAACTTTTCCCTTTAAATTTCCAGGGTTTAAAATAGGAGTTTGGAATCCTTGTTTGATGACTGCACATCAAACTTTCAGTTGTTGCTTTTTAGCATATGACGGCCTTCAAAAGATAATTATCAGCCACTACACAGGGCAGAACCACCTTTATTACAAAAACACCTTCAGCAAAGTTTACACCTGAAAAACTTTTCACAGGGTTTAGAAGCAGTAATTTTACTACTACAGCCCATTAAACTGAGTAATCCAAGGATTCTCAGATTAAATTGACATCCTTGAGATAAGCAAGTAGTACCATCCCAACTCTCCGAGTGCAGGAACTGTGGAACTAAGTCATCCACGGACACACGTCTAGAAACGTCAGAGCCATCTGCCCAGTGTTATAACCACTGAACAGCATACTTTATTGCTCAAAATACAAGTGGTATGTACCAATTCTTTCCTCACTGACTTCCGTTTTCCTTCTCACCAGTTTCTTGTCATATTGCTGGCTTAGGGTGGAAACAGAAGTATTGGATCTTCTCTATACCCTCTATCCCCAAATTTAAGAACAAATTAGAATATACTGTCCAAACAGAACTAACTTCTAACTCTCATAAAAAAAGATCTTCTTTCCAATACAGGTACAAGAACACTAAAAGAAGTCAACATTAATTTAAATTTAATACAAAAAACTAATTATTTACAAATATTAAAATTCACTTAGTCTCTCCTGGCTAGTTCATACTCTGGAATTTCATTTTGAAAGTGTTCAAAGGCTTGAATGAAGAACTAAGCATCCTTATTATGTTAAGCATCTCTTCCTGCAGAAAGCCACCTGTTCACCATTTTTACAGGACTACTAGTCAGGTAGCACGCACAAACAAGTTAGCAAGATCTGGCTGTACAGTATTTTATATGGATACTGTTAAAGTGCATCAGAGAACGCCATCCGGTGCAAGTTCAAACCCTCTTCCTGAAACCACTATTTAGCAAGTGAGGCGAGGCTCCCTATACGCTATCCGATTAAAGGATCGTCATCATCATATTGTAACTGAAGCCGGGAAAATGGCCGTGGGGGAGCTACTCTATTCTTTGAGATTATTATAATGCAGGTGAAAGTAGTCAGTATCATAAAAGCCCCAATAACTATCCCAATAGCTTCTGGAAGATTTATGCACCACTGGTCAGCCAGCAAGCACTTGGTGTTACTGAAAGTGCCGTTGTGCGGCTGTGGTGTCAGGCCCAGGATGTGGCACATCATTGGGTAAATATCAACGTTGTTCATCGTGCTCTGCTTGTAACCCCGATGAAAAGCAGGCCCACGAGCAGCCAGGAACGGATGCATACTTGGGAGAGCGTTGTCATAGCCGTGGTCGCCTACTGGAGAAATGCAGAGTTGAGAGTTAACGTCACACTTTCTGTTTGCATATTGAGTATTCCCCTCCCTATCTCTCCCCCACCCCCAAAGGCCGTGGTCCTTCCCACCTCCCCTCCCCAAAATTCTCTCTTTTCCTTTTGGTCATCAACATTTTCAGTTTTCCCCTTCGCACTCCTCATGCCAAAGTCGAAAAGGACATTGCCAATCCACAAGTCAGTAGCTGGAATGCAAATTTGTACAAATTTTGGAAAGACATCTCCCCTTTGCAAAAGCAGACACTTTGATTATTTCAGGCACCTTCCCCTTGATAGTGTTCAGTTTGAGCCCATTAAGTATCCTCAAATCACGCTTATCAGATTAGGTACTTCAGGAGAAGGGATACCCAAATAGCCAAAACCAAAAACCAGTCAAAGGATCACGATGCCTGTGACAGGCTAATAACAAAATGTTTGCGGCTACAAGGTCACCAGTACTTGGACATTTGGTAGGTTTTTAAGAAATACTCCAATTTTTTGGTGGAATATAAACAGCTAAAAGGCAGCCATAGTCCAATTTCCTAGTAACACGCCTGAAAAATCTGTCCAAGGTGCCAAAAATTTCTCATAGCACATGCAGCACAGTATTTGAGTGACTGCATTTAAGTTTGGAGTTCATTTCTTAGTAACAGTTTAACGAGTCGGTCCCCAGAACAGTCTCCTCGGCTGCTTCATTGAGGTTTCTGATGTGAAATGTCATGATTCCTATCAATTAGGTCACACTCACTGCTTCGGTGTACTTCCAATATTCCTTTCTAATGTTCTCCACCATTATGTTTTTTACCACAAAGATACTACTGTGCCACATCTCGCTTGATGGAATGCAGTCCTACGTTTCTTGATTACATTTTTTTTTCTCCTTCTTCTACTTGCTTGTTTTGAACAGAGTTGTTCCGAGCGCCCTCTCCAGTGAAGTTTCCGTCTTTCACCTCTGAAGTAGGAGGGCTGGTGTGCGCCAACATTGCTAGATACCGTGTAGGTATTGGTACACTTGCCAATCATTACACTGCCACTTTGTCCATGAAGACAAGTACAATAAACACTTAAATAGCCTTTTAGGCTAAAACCTCCCCTGCCTGCTTCTGGGAAGCCTTGGCTAGCAAAATTGTTTCAAAAGTGATTCACTTCAATTGATACAATGCTCTTACTTCTAAATATACACTTACTAATGATTTTTAGGTGCATGAAATTGAATCTAACCATAAACAAGAAAGAGACCACGTGTGCTATGTGTTGTCTGTTTGAAGATGATTGTAACAAATCTGTGGGGTAATTAAAATAAAAACTTAACTTACATTCTAAGCAGTACTTTTGTACAAATAATGAGAAAATTTGAACTTAAATGTGCAAAGGGCAGACAGTAAGAACAGCCAAACTGGGTGAAACCAGGAGTTTGCACCACCCAGCATCCTGTCTCTGACAGCAGTCGTAACAGGGAGTCTGGAAAGTATGCAACAGGGTCAGCCCTGACATACCAACCAGCCTCGAGCTGTTGGCTGCTCAGAAACTTCCTGGAAGTTGGTACTTTTGTATTTAATTCCTATTAATGGATTTTTCTTCCAAGAGTTTGTCCAATCACTTTCTGAACACATGCATATACATACATATATATATATATATGCAGCCTTCATCTGCAACCAGAATTATGGGTTGAACTCTCTTACTATGACGATAATGAAATCTGGAATTTCTTCTTTGAGATATGCTTTCATGTGACTGTTGCATTTTTTCAGTAAGTTATACACGCCTCTTTTGTCTGCCAAAAAAACCCCAAACCCTTGCATGTCAAAAACCTGGAAATATACAGATACACACACATATACGCCTTCATCTGCAACCAGAATTATGGGTTGAACTCTCTTACTATGACGATAATGAAATCTGGAATTTCTTCTTTGAGATATGCTTTCATGTGACTGTTGCATTTTTTCAGTAAGTTATACACGCCTCTTTTGTCTGCCAAAAAAACCCCAAACCCTTGCATGTCAAAAACCTGGAAATATACAGATACACACACATATACATATATATATGTATGTATGTAATTTGACATATCATAGCATCTAGCAGGAAGAAAGCGCATATCTTAGCAATGCACTGTGTGAAGTAACAGCGGTTTTGTTTTTTGTCTTTAAAACATGCTATTTGATGCCCCTAACAGGAAGAACTCTGGCTTCTTTGACCATTATTGTTGTGTTCCTATTATTTTTAGTACTTCCTCACATTTAGTTTTGTTTCCTCGTATATGTACTGTAACACTAAATGTTGTGTCTTGCATTCTTCAATTTATGCTCCCCTATATATATATTTTATATACAAACAATAGTTAAACCACACTCCAGTGGAAACTTGAGACAGACTGCTAACTTGCTTAAGTTAAAAGTGTACCTCAGGCTATTAAGTTGAACATGACAAAATGTTTTAGCCAATGGAATATCCCCCATCTCTTCCTCATCTGTTAAAACACTCCAGGCTCAGGCTGAGAATGTTCTAGAAAATGCTGAGATGTTCCTAAAGATGCACAGTGCCAGGACTGTGCCAGGACACTCGCTAAACTCAGACCATCCCACAGATGGCTGGAATAAAAACAAGACAGTTTACCAACAAAAGCCACCAAGAGCATAAATGAGGAAAACACACTTACATTTTGGAAGTGACTCGTTTTGTACAATCGTCCAGCCTTCATCTGCAACCAGAATTATGGGTTGAATTCTCTTATTGTGACGATAATGAAATCTGTCTGGAATTTCTTCTTTGAGATATATTTTCATGTGACTGCTGCATTTTTTCAGTAAGTTATACACGTCTCTTTTGTCTGCCAAGAAAAAAACTGCATGTGAAACAGCTGGAAATTATGTCCCATTCACTGCAATTATCTGTCATTAAACCTAAGCTCCATTCTTTTCAAAACAATTATTTTTTAAAGGCAGATAGAAAAGGATTTTTTCATGTTCCTAATGAAATGCTACGTGTATCAAGGTGGATTTCAGAATTTGCTCTCATTTTAAATCAGGCACCTCATGGTTGTGGTTTTGGACCTACAATTCAACTTACCCTCTGGGCTTGGGGGGGGAGGAGAGCAAAACTCAAGCAGCGACATCAAGAGAAAGCAATCACATGCCAAGGTAATCAATATTTTTATCCAAAGCAGTAAATATTAAATTTTTTTACTGTATAAATCATTTTGTTCGTTACAATTGCTTCAGTCTGGCCACAGTTGTGGAAACTGAGACCAGCAGCGCCATGATTTAAGACATGCCTGTTAGTAACTACTCCAAGATATAAAAACTGAATTCACAGTATGAAAACTGAAGTTTCATTCACAGAAATGGAAGTGGTAAAGCGATCAAATTTGGGTTTAGATTTTTAATTGGAAGTTTAGACAATGACAATTTTTATTCTGAATAAACGTGAGGGCTTACGTCATGCTCACTGTGAATTACAACTGTATAGAATAAATGAGCAACAAGACAGCAGGCATACTAAGGGCCTATCTGCTTTTTCAATAAGCTGTACCAGGACTTCACCACCTCTACCACCCACAGCAATTTGACAAGAAATGCTCCTTGGCCCATTGATTACCAAAACAAAGTAAGTCCTAAATAAACAGACATTCTTTAGCTTATTCATTAAATTTTGTCAAAGTTGTGCAATATGAACTACACGGGTTTTGCAAAAGATGTAAACAGTCTACCATAGCGTGTACTTTTTAGTAGTAAGATAAACAAGATTTAATTCTCAGTGTATGATTTAAAAAAAACCAAACCCGAAACATACTCTGCCTTGGCAGCACTGCAGCAACTGGACTCTTGTCTATCAGAGTATAGTTATTGCGACCAATGCAGTCATCCAGGATAATCAGCTTCTTTGCAGAACAGGCGGCCATTCCATGATCACTTGTTATTATGATATTAATAGTGTCCCACAAACCTAATGCCTTCAATTTATTCGTAAGGAAACCGATATGATTATCCACTTCTTCTAATACTTTGCGCATGTTCACAGTGTCATCTGGTCCATACTTGTGCCCACTTGCATCTGGTTCTTCCCAGTATAATGTAGCAAAACTGACTACTGGATTAGAGCTGTTCAGCCACGCAACAATTTTCTCCACTCTCTCCTCAAATGTTACTGAAAAGTTATACTTCAAAAAGAAATGAGGAGTCGTATCATTAATTTTTACATCGGTACCGGGCCACATTGCAGCAGCACTTGCTCCATTTCCCTGCTGTTGATTTGTTACCCAAATTGGAACTGCCTCGTTCCACCAGAAGGGATCTGAATCATTGAACTGTGAAAACTTTTTCTTGGCATCTGCATCGTACATGTCATTAGCCACGATGCCATGGCTTTCTTCATATAAACCTGTCACTATGGTATAATGGTTTGGGAAAGTCTTGGTGATAAAAGCATTCGTAACTTGTTTTACAAGCACACCATCCTCAATGAACTTCTGAAGATGAGGAAGTTTATAGGTTTCCAAGTAATCAGCCCTGAAGCCATCAAAGGACACGAGTAGTAACCTGGATACTGAATCACCAGTAGAGTGAGCACAACAGGCAACTATTCCAGAAAAAAATAATGTTAACATCGAGTTCATTGTTGATACTTCAAAGGGTTTCCAGTAGGTAATCAGATGCACCTGAAAAATTTAACAAGATAAGGCATGTAACACAAAATAATTGTACTAGAACCAGTTTAACTAGCTACACATTAGGTACATCTTCCTTATAGAGGTTAACTGCAAAATAACCGGTCTAAACAACCACTGAAGTCAACAGTGTATTTCCCTACTGACTTCAGAAGTTTCTCATGTATTGTCATATTTTTTCATATATTAAAACAAATAAGCAATGAGATTTTTTTCATTCCAGACTAAATGAAAGGAAGAATTGTTTTCTCTCTTTTAAGCAATTATTCCATCGTTCTGTGTGTCTTACTACAATTCTATGTTCCAAGACAATCAGTATTCTTCCTCATGTTCAAGCACAGGCACCTGAACAATTACGGCTCCACATTTAAGAGTCCTGTGCAGCTCTAAATCCTGCTTACACATCACTGTTCAGACCAGAAGTTTGTTTTCTGCTGTAATTATAGTTTTTCTTTTTCATCCCACCTTTCCTTTTCCACAGTTCCCACTCTCTTGAGCCGCTGGAAGACTTTTGAGCCTTTCAACATTCCTATTTACTCATTGCTTACTCTATACACGGAACTGCCAGGAGTAACTTCTACTTCTGTTTTCCTTCTAAGCTGTTGTACAACTACCGTAACAGTATTTAAACCTGTTCTTTACATACCATATTTATATCTCTCTAAAAAAAAAATAAAAAAGTCATTAGTAACATTAGTTATGAGGCAACTATTTCTCACCAAGGAATTCACGACTATTATGAATGCAAGGTATGATTTGTAAGCTCCCCTTCCCCCCCAACTTATTATGTGTGACAGAAGCACTTCGTTCAGGAAGGTCCAGAATTATTCTATAAGCCTTTAAGAAAGAGGAAGTGAAGCTCCAGATCTCGGAAGAACTTCTGCGATATTGTTAGACAGCGTATTTACTTCTCAAGAAAAGCTCCGCTCCAACAAATTTCTCCTTTATCTCACTTGCACAAACTAGGGTGATTCTAGGAGGAACAGCAGGTATCTTCCTAACTGCAGTAATATCTTCTGGCCTATCTCAACCCTTTCCCCAAAGCTCTTTAAAACTGTGAGTGTATTATTTTAAAAGTGTAAGTAAGTAGCTTTAATGGTAGCTAAAGCTTTAGCAGTGAGAGGAATGCAAAGCATGGGAAATCATCCCCCCTTGCAACCAACAGTTAAAATTTCTTCAGAAGATATAAATGTTAGAAGAAAGGATCATCAAAAACAGCATTAAGGTATCTCCTAATACAGAGGACTTGTAACACACAGCCCCTTTAAAAAGGGGGGGGAGGGGGAGGGAAGAAATGAGATGAGCAATGGAGCACAGAATCACCCATTTCATGTTGTCAGGTGCTTTAAAAAGCAGAAACAGAGTTTTTCATAGCGCAGTAAGACATAAGACCACAATATTAGCTTCAAAAAACTCCAAAGATGCTAAGCATTTGCGTTCTTACACACTGTATCACAGCCAGCTATAGAACGCCATCAGCATTACAGCCATCTGCTCCTGAACCTCTCCACCTTCCAGCCAGGTTTTCAAGTCTCCAGTTGCTCAATTCAGCAAGAAATGAGTTATCCTGGCCCTGAAAGCTTACAGCGAGATGCTGCGCTGTCATTACAAACTCAGCCGGTGTACAGGACCGGCTCCCGCAGCGCTGTGAAAGA